CGAACCGAACACTGATTTTGGTAATAAAATTCAATGATTTGCAAGCGTTGCTCGTTAGTAAGTCTATTCATGATGAAATGTCAAAGCATACTGAGCATCTTTCTCTTTGACACCATGTCTGAAATCCCACGTGATCTGTCAAATACTAATGCATGAAAATCCTAACCTCAAAAAAATCACCCGTTAGTTTTACTCAGTGGCAATTTATACATACATATGTATGTAAGTAGTAGCGGCATATTGGGTGAACTAAATGCATTCATACATACATATTTATGTACAACTGTAGGTAATATTGTACGCGTCTTCCCAGGTAGGTTAAGTGCGGGTGATAAACCCATGTAGCATAGTTAAATACTGTGTACATACCTGCAATTAAAATGGGGAAAAATGTTACAATTTCGGCATATGACTGAAAAAACTCTTAAATACACACAAATTGTGGTTTCCAAGACATGTTCGAAGTGATTAGCACAGCTGCATCTTTCAACTTGTCAACTCGCGGGAAATTCCCCGATTTGCAGGGAATTTCGGTTTAAGTGGCAATCGGGGAATGGGCATTTTTTTCGGGGAACTGGGTATATTTTTTTTATATCTTAAAGTAACCAAATCAGACGGATATGTTAATTTTTAACCATTGACCCTTTATAGAGCGACATTTTTTCAATTTGAATCGCAATATCTCCACAACAAGACTTTTCCCAGATATAAGCAATATACCAGATGAAAGCTATGGTTTTGGGCTAGATTTATGGAAACTTATAATAAAATCAACTGACCAGTTTTTGAGAAAACCCCCCGAAATGTATATTTTCAGCAACCCGATTTTTAGTTTTCAGGCGATAACATTATGACATATTTATATTTTATAAACACAAAATATAGCGTTAGATAGCTTGTTCGAAGACCCTTCCACTGGTATCCACATCAATGACATGGACTGAGTTGTGCGGCCTTAGTGGTAGTTTAAAAAATTGCCTCTTTTCGAATTTCAGGCAGCAGCCACGCCCACAAAGGCATACGAATCAAGACATCCTGGAACAAAACCTTCTTAGTTTTTTTTTGTACTTTAATTCCTGAAAGTTTGAAAAAAATTAAATGATGGTACGTACACACGCCTGTACGCGTATGGTACGTACAGACGCCTTCAGACACGAGCGTCTGTCGCTTCTGTGAGATGGACGAAGAAACGCCAGAACACATCCTTTGTGAATGTGTTGCACTCGCTAGACGCAGACTCGCTCACCTAGGTGGTACAACACTTAATCCATTCGAAATATGGAACAAAAAGCCCGCCGACGTGCTAGCTTATATTAAAAGCCTTCATATATAGGGTAAAGGGCCACGCA